ACATAGATGATGAACTCCTACCATCATCACTGAATATAGTAGAGGTGAACACACCACTGACTGCTCTAGTGATAGGAGGAGGATATGGGAAGAGAAAGCAGATGGCATTAATCCTTCCACAGATTAAGGGATTGCATTGTCTAATGCTATATAAACGGTATTCATTGAATCTTCTTTTGCCCTCTCATCCCAGTCTACATACACTTTCTTTATCACTAAAGACAGCAGACCTTGTCATTGAACTATGTACTATTCTACAAACCAATACTACACTCAAAGCTCTGAGTGTGGACATGAAAGATATAGTATATACCAGCAGTATGGGTACTAGTCTACAAGACATGCTAACTCAAAACCAAACACTGAAATACCTTGAGATTAATGATGACAGGTATAATGTCATTCCCAGTTCATTCCTGTCCTTCCTAACAACTGGTCTCAGACACAACACCAGTCTACAGCAGTTGAGTGTACCCATTCCACTGAATGAAGAGATAAGAACTTTTATTAAAGTCATCTCTCAAAAGAACAATTTCACAGAAATTAAAGTGAACTTCAAACCAGATCAGTCATACAGTAACTGTAGTGAGGAAGAGAAGAAACAAATAATGACACAATTGTTTTATGAACAGGTACTACCTGCTGTTACTAACATGTTACAGTCACATACAACCATCAGACTACTGAGGATAGGGTGTAGAGATATTAATGAAGAGTCATCTCAACCTAACTCGATAGAACTAGTACAACATTTATATGAAACTATCTTCATCCATCCATCACTTGAATATATTGAGATTAATACTGGAGTCATTACTCCTCGTCTCCTGAGGGATACCCTTAAAGATCAAAAGAAGACATTGATTGATAGACACAGAAAAGAACAACCACACAAACCACTACCAATAGTGGATGTTTGATCAATAATAATAATTAATGAATAATGATCATTGTAGGCGTGGTTTTAATTAATTTTTTATTATTTTTATTAACTAAGTACTATAATTATTACCGTAATTAATTAGGCGGCAAAATGGAAAAGTAAGTACAAAGTAGTTACCTATTCATTCATTTACAGTATCCTCTCGCTCCCTCCATTATTAGAGAGGGTGAGAGTATCACAGTGTTCATTAGAGTCCGTCCTGTTAGTTCATATGATACTGAACCAGTACCCGCCACTAGTAGCAGCTGTATCAGTGTGACCACACCCACCACTATAACCATCAACACTAAACCAGACCCCAAACTGTTCACCTTTGATCATGTGGCAGAACACAACACTACACAGGTAAAACCGGTCTGACTGGTATACATATACACCTCGTCATGTTAATTAAATGTATTCATCCATTACTCATTAGGAGGGTGTGTTCTCGTTAATTGGTAGACCAATCATTGATGGGTGTATGCAGGGATACAATGGAACTATATTTGCATAGTAAGAATAATAATAATGAATATTAATTAACATTATTATTATTATTATTATTATTATTATTATTATTATTATTGTTATTATTATTGTTGTTGTTAGTGGTCAGACTGGTTCAGGAAAGACGTTCACAATGATAGGTACGTCACTCCTTAGTTACCGTTACTATGGCTACCATTGCTATGGTTACTTGTAGGTCCCTCTGATGAAGGTAGTGATGGATACATTCATGAGTACAGAGGAGTCATCCCAAGGAGCTTTGAATATTTATTTAGTTTAATA